ACCCAGACTGGAGAGTTTATACAATAGAAGTTTGTTTGGAAGTTCAAGTGTGAGTGCAGATCACTTTGCTGTGTCGTTAATATGGCCAAACACTTAGATGCATGGACAGGAGAGAGAACGGGACCCGCCTTGTCAGGAGTCAGCTCTGGTGATGGCTAACCTATGACCATCGTGTTAACCCGTTATGGAAGCCAAGCCCTATGACATGAACACCTCTCACTGGTTCCACCTCTCAGCCTGTGGCATTGACATTAAGTGGGGTTTTTTTCCTTTCTTCTTCTTCTTTCCCTTCCTTTTTTCTCCTTCTATTTCCCACCTTCTTCATCCTCTTCTTCTGCCTCCCTTCCTCTCTCTTTCTGAGACAGGTCTCATGTAGTCCATGAGGGACTGTATTCCAGGCTGCACTCAGGATGTGGTGAAGGGTGCCCTACTTCCTGATCCTCCTCCTACCCCTCAGGAGTGCTGGGCTTGGTGCATGCTGGGAAGCATTCTACCAACTGAGCTACAGCCCAGCACTGTCAAATATTCATAAAGTGTGTGTGTGTGTGTGTGTGTGTGTGTGTGTGTGTGTGAAAAAGAGAGAAAGGGGAGAGAGAAAATAAATATGATACAATGCCGAGTACTGAGGTTCTTGGGAATCCTGGGTACTGTTTTTGTAACTTTAGTCTAACATTATTTCCAATTTTTGAAACGCTATCAAAGCTATGAGAAATCTACAGGAGCCAGTATAGAAGTAAAAGATCTTTCTTATACAAACCATGGCTTTTGCAAAACCACATAGATAATAAGAGAAAATTATTTACAGAACTTTGGTTAAGATCCCAGCATGGCAACACAGGAAGTTGGAGAGGCAGACAGACCTCTGTGAGTTTGAGGATAGCCTGGTCTACGTAGTGAGTTCCAGGTCAGTCAGAGATACACAGTGAGTTTGTCTCAAAACAAACAAAAAGAATTCTGGCTAAGAGCACACTTGGGTAAATCTACTCTTTAGTCCTAAGTGTGCAAAAAATATAGAGAATAGAAGAAGAGGAAGAAAAAGGCAAGTCATCAGCCAGATCTCGTTTCTTGGGAGTGGAAAGATGGCTGAGCAGTTAAGAGCACTGGCGGCTCTTAAGAGGACCAGGGTCTATTCCCAGCATCCAGCTGCCTGTAACTTCAGCCTCAGGAAATCTGACACCTTCTTCTGGCCTCTGAGGACACTTGCTTGGGCTCTGCCTTTAGCACAGACTCCAAACTTAGGGGACCCTTGATTCACCTTGCCGAGAGGGTCCAAACCTAGTCTAGAGGTTCTGCGTTACATCGCCAGTGTGCATGCAGACAGTATCAATTTACGTCTGAAAGCGTGATTTGTACTCCCGAGTATTCAAAGTTGAGTCCTCTGTGCCCAGCCCGCTTCAATTTCTCTCATCACAGCTCTTCTTCCTAGAACAATTTTCTTAATGCTGCCCCTCCTTGTCAGCGGCTTCCTCTCCTGAAACAGAACTGAGAGAGCCGGCAGCCGTCTTGCAGGTGACTAGGATCAGTTATTAAAGGGGCCTGAAAGCCTGACACACCCGAGGCACCGTTTCGGAGAGCTCAGCACAAAGCCATGAAAGAACTTAAACGGATCGAGAAAAACTACTTTTCAAAATCCTTGATTGCCGACCCTGGATGTACTCAGCGCTGCTTTGATAAACCAGGGCGGAAGGGCCAGGGCATAGTGCCAGAGGGCAGGCACAGATGCCGATGAAAAGGTGGGGCATCTGGCCTGGCACCTTGTGAGGACATGGCTATGCACAGCACTAGCTGGATTTTACAGGCTGGGGGTAATGGGAATGTATGTTGCATTTGGCTGCAGGATCAAGGTCCATGCCCCGAGCTCTAGTGTTTACTTTGAGGGATAGTGACGGATAGGCTGTGTAGAAAATGGCTCCAATATCCTGGCATTGGTGTGCTTTAAGGCAGTGTGGTTTTAAGGGTTTAGAAACTGGTCTTGTGGACACTCCATGGGGTGTGGGGGTGTCGGACTCTGTCCACCCCAGAGCCACTGGGCGCCACCCCAACCTTCAATGCTTCCCCAGTCTCAGTGAATGGATGGGGAAAGCTCCGGCCTCCTGTAGGCAGGAGGGGCAGGCTAGAGAGGATGCTGTCAATCAGTGAGGACACTTGACCTTGGGCATGGCAGATTCGGGACTCTCCACTAAGCACACAGAACTGGGACGGTGATGGAGGGCTCAAAGATTGGTGGAAAGCAAGTGGCAGGGTGCGTTTCTCCTGATGTACAAAATGGAGATCAAAGCATAACTGAGATGCATAAATGTCTTTCTTTCTTCTTTTTTTTCCTTTGGTGGAGGTGCTCACTATATTGCTCTGGCTAGCCTAGAACTAGTTATGTAGATCAGGCTGGCCTCGAACACACAGAGATCCTCCTCCTTCTGCCTCTTGGATGTTGGGATTACAGGTGTGAACTACTAAACGAGTTAAAAATAATATTTAAGGGGCTGGAGAGATGGCTCAGTAGTTAAGAGCACTGTCTGCTCTTCCAAGGGACCCGGGTTCAATTCCCAGCACCCACAAGGCAGCTCACAATTGGCATCTGTAACACCAATTCCAAGAGATCTGACACCTTCACAATAATGTACATAAAATAAAATTTAAAAAATAATGTTTTATGTGTATTTATTTCATACCTGTGTTTGTGAGGACAAAGTGCAGGAGTCAGTTCTCTCTCTTCACTGTGTGGCTGGCGGGGGTCGAACGCTAGCCATGAGGCTTGGTAGCAGGTGCCTCTCTTTACCACAGAGCCTTGTCGGTAGCCTGGGTTAAGATCGTTTTAAACCCGTGCTCCTTGATAAGCGAATGCTAGCTACATCAAATGCACAGTAACTTCCCACAGTAGTTAGTGGGAAGCAGGAGTTGAGCAGGTTGGGTAGGGACTAGAAAAGCCTCTAAGTTTTGAGAGCATTCAGCCGTTTTCACAGCAGAAACAATGCTAGTGAAAACGTCACTGGAGCTGAGTGAGTTCAGGGCACCTGTTGAAGAGTTCGGGTTCTGGCAAGGAATTGGATTGGGTGGGTGCTTAAAACTAGACACAGTTTATTAAGGAAGGACTCAGAGAAAGGGATGGCCAGTGAGCCTAGGAAAAGCATCTGCTTACAAGCAATGTGCTAGGGCTGGAGAGATGGCTCAGCAGATAGGAGAAGGGGGCCTGGGTTTGGTTTCCAGCCCTCACATGGGGGCTCACAGTTCCAGGGAATCTGAGGCCCATGCCCAGTCTCTGTGTACCAGGCAAACACAGGACACACACACACAGGCAAAGCACTCACACACATGAAAGTAAGAGTGAAAAAAGTTCTTTTTGAAAGATCACATGGAGGGCCACGCGGTGGTGACACACACCTTTAATCTCAGCACTCAGGACACAAAGGCAGGTGTATCTCTGAGTTTGAGGACCCTAGTGCTCGTCTCCACACCTGCACTGGCTGTCACACAGTTGCCCATAACTTTAAGGGATCTGAAGCCTTCAGGCCTCCATAGCCTCCTGCACTCATGTAAACATACATAATTTAAAACAATAATAGTATTTTTATTTATAATTACATTGGGGGGAAAAGCCCAAAGTAATTCATCCTTAATGAAAGTTCGGAGGCTAGGTCTGGTGTGACACATCTTTCCTCCCAGCACAGGGGCCTGTACTCTCAGTACAGGAAGCCTGGAGCCAGCTAATTCTGTCCAGATGTGAAGGTACACAGCGACTTTAAGGAAAGAAGAGCCTGAAACCGTCCTTACAAACGAGGGCTTGACAACCAGACGTCGGTGCCTTGGACGTGGAATTGAACCAATACAAACGTGTCAGTCGTGACAAGCCACTGCTGTTTGTGTGTGGGGGCGCCCAGCCAGGAGCAGGGTTCCAGAGCAAAGAGGCAGACCAGTTCAGTGTGAGTGGCCAAAGGCGTTGAGGCTGCTTCCCATGGTTGGACGGAAGCCCAGAGTCCCAGGAGGTTCTCTCCATCGGAAGGACATTCCACGGGGGTTGTTTCCTTCAACCTCTGTGGCTCTGGCCCAGGAACTAGAATTCCTGATGAGAGTTCCGTGTGGCCCGCCACGCAAGCGTCCTCTTTGTTTGCCATCTCCTTCCTGTCCTGGGTTTCTTCATCTTTTTCTGTGTGCGCCACGTGTGCAGGTGCCCACAGAGAACAGACAAAGGCTCCAGACTCCATGCAGGAGGGGTGATAGGCGGTTTTGAGCCACCCAACACGCGTGCTGGCAAGCCAGTTTGGGTCCACCGGGCCGGCAGTGTATGCTCTCAACTACTGAGTCAGCTCTCCTGCCTCATTTTATAAAAAAATTGCATTTACTTTGTGTGTGTGTGTGTGTGTGTGTGTGTGTGTGTGTGTGTGTGTGTGCATTTGGGGAAGGCACACTCAGCAGCCACGCAAGGGTCAGAGGACAATAGAAAACCATCAGTTCTCTCCTTCCAACGTGTAGGCCCCAGAGGCTGAGCTCAGGTCACCAAGTTTGGAGGCTCATCATCATCATCATCATCATCATCATCATCATCATCATCATTACTATTTTGGTTTTTTGAGACAAGGTTTCTTTGTGTAGCTCTGGCTGTCCTGGAACTCACTATGTAGACCAGGCTGGCCTTCATCTCTGCCTCCCACATGCTGGAATTAAAGGTGTATGCCACCATGAATGGCCTCCTTTCTCTTTTTTTCTTTTTAAAAAAATATTGTTTTCTTTTTCTGTGTGTGCATGCGTAAGAGTGTGTGTGCATGCCTTCCTGCTCAAATGGAGTCCCAAAGGGAGCATCCAGTGTCACCTTGTCATTTTCCCTTATTCCTTTGAGGCAAGGTCTCTCTCTCTGAACCAAGACCCTGCACCTTCTCAGGCAAGCGGAAAGACAGCAAGCCCCAGCAAGCCTGCTGCCTCCACCCCCGTCAGAACTGAGGTTACAGTCACAGGCATTTGTAGGACACCCAGCTTGTGACACAGACACCGGGATCCAGAGTTCTAGCCTCACAATTGTGAAGCAAGTTGCTCTGTCTGTTACCCTTGTTCCTCTGATGTGTCAGTTATATTCCTCACCCATGTGACCAAACAGATGACAAGATGGAAGTCAAGGGAGGAAGGTTTATTCCACCCACAGTTCAGGGGATCTGTTGGTTACGGTGAGGTCACAGCCCATGGACAGTTTCTCTCTGGAAACAGCCCCCCAGAGGCACCAGGGGTGTGTCTCCTGGGTGACTCCGGGTCTTCCTAAGTTGACACTCAGTGTGAACCATCACACCTGCCTTATTGCTTGTCAGGGGCCCGATGGTAATGGTTTATCTTCCTCTCAACATTGGTGAGAAGACAGGCCTTTCCTCGTGGTTTGAGCTCCCGGGGTGGAGTGAAGGTTCAGTGTTAAAGCTTGCCAGTGACGCCAGGAATGGCTTCATTTCCTACCTCACCCAAGAATGGCTTCCGAGGCTGCAGATACACTTCTATGAAAGTGGTGCTCACGGAGGCACGTGAGGCACGTGGAGAAGGGCCCTGTGCAGCAGCTGGAGTGCCAGGGGGCTGTGAGCGGCCTGACACGGGTGCTGGGAACTGAATGAAGCCCCCGTGGAAGAGCAGCAAGCGCTCCTAACTGCTGAGCCATCTCTCCAGGCGCCTGCACTCACACACACAATCCAAACACACACAACTAAAAATGACTAAGAAGTTAACTCTGCTCCCCAGTTTGAGGTGTGTCTCTATGTCAATGTAGTCTTTATTTTAACAAATAAAAAATAGGTCTTAGGAACTTTCCTACTAGCCAGGTGGTGGCAGCGGCACGTGCCTGGGGTCCCTGGAGGTAGAGGCAGGCAGATCTCTGTCAGTTGGAGGCCAGCCTGGTCTACAGAGTGAGCTCTAGGACAGCCGGGGCTGCACAGAGAAACCCTGTCTGGAAAACCAAACCAAACAAAAACAACAGCAAAAAGCACTTCCTGGCAAGTGGGGTGACACTAAGTAGGACTGGGGGCACGAAGGAGCTGCTGTGGTCCCCACCCCCGTCATCGCTGACCTGCCCACCCTGGAACCCCAGGCATTATGCCAGAGGACCTGGGCATTTTCTCGAATGCTTTCTGGTAGTTCTCCTTCTCTAAGGGGGGCTAGCCTCACCAAAGGTATAGATCACATTTTTTTTTTGGGTGGGGCCGGGGAGGGGAGGGTGTCTGATGCTGGGGATGGACCTCAGGGACCTTGAACTTAGGACACACATGGCTCCACCCCAGGATCCTGCTGTGCGTTTTATTTCTTCTGTCTACAGTGCCCAGCATTGTTCTCCGTGTGCAAACATGCTCACGGCACGGCTGCAGTGAGGGTAGGTGTCAGCAATGGCAGCAACTCTACTAACTGAGCCCACTGCTCCGCCCTCGGGTGAGCCCTTCAGTCGGGCTTTGGCTAAACTATTGCTCCCCTACTGCTTGCTTCAGCTGCCGCCCTGTGCTTGCAGAAATACCCCTTGGGCATAATGAAGATCTCAGTGTTACTCAGTAATGTCTTATCTCCCCATGTCCTGTTTACACGGTGTGCTTAGGGTGCAAGCACCACACGCCCTCATAGGCTATCCTGGACAGCCCGCCCTGGCTCTATAGCTGGACCATCGCCAGCAAGCTGAAGCCAGAGGGGTCAGGGCTTTCTTCCTCTGAAGAAAACAAGGCAGCTCCTCTGACCTGATATATACATTGCAGGGACCAAGCCAATCCTTACACAGCACACATTTTGTTTGTTTGTTTGTTTTGTTTCTTTTCAGAGCCCCTCAGAAGTCCGGGAATCACAACCGCCTGCAGCAGGCCTCTCAGGGTTGTCTGGGCGTCCTGGGTCACATCTTGCTGGGCAGCAGGCCTACATGTCATAGAGCCGGAGCTGCTCCTGCATGTCGCCGTCGGAGATCTCACCAAACGTCTCCTTGTTGTCCTTCATGAGCTTGAAGATGGCGGCCAGCTGTTCTTTCTGGACTCTGTCGAGAGAGAGGGTGAGAGGAAGAGGGTGCTTCCGGCCCAGGTGGGGGGAAATGGGACCTGTGCAGCCCCCCAGGTGGAGACTCTCCTCTTTGCTAACTGCTTTTGCCTTTCAGCACAAGACTCAGTTACAATTCGGATGGTGGTTTGCACTAACCCAGGTCTCGGGGTTACTGTGCCTCGCTTTCCTCATGGGCCTACAGCTTCCTCATGGGCCTGTAGTTGATCTGCAACTCACTGTGAGGTGAGGAGGAAGAGAGCCCTGTTTCATTAAGTGGTTTGAGGTACTGAGAGGAAAAAACAAAACAAAACAACAACAACAACAAAAAAAACGGTTAGGAGCAACCTTGGTTTAAAAGGATGAGCCAGAAGCGAAGGAAATGGGGGCACACAGATGTGCAGGCGAGAGTGATGGAACAGGCAGGCTGAAATCAAGCCCCTTGGGTTCTGCCGCCTAGAGGATGGGGCCTCTCTTCCTCATGTGCACAGGGCGGGTGCGGCCGCAGACGGGCCTCAGTGTTGACACGGTTTCTGCGGCAGCCCTGTGGTTTATGAGGCTCCGGCACACCATCTGACCAAACACAGGGTGACTCCCATAGCAAACATCAAGGGCGGGCTGAACAGCTGAGGCCAGAACAGTGTGTGTGGTCCTGTTTGTTCCGCTGCAGCGGCCGTGTCAGCATGGCTGGCCGCTGGATCCGCCCTTGTCAGCGTGGCTGGCCGCTGGGTCCTGGCTCCGTTCTTGACTCTGAGTTGCTGTCCTTCCATGACACACTACTGCTTTGGGCCTGGAGAGAACTAGAGCCACAGTGCAGACTCAGATCTCAGCCAGCCCCGCCCCACCTCACCCCAGGTCATGTCTGCTACAGCTATGCTGTAGGTCCATCGTAACTGCACAGCCTTCAGCAAAGCTGCTGGCCACTAGATTGCCTGGAGGATGGTACTGGTGTGCCAGGATCTTAGCCACAGTTTTCATTTTGTAGCCCTGCACTGCCTGGAACTCACTCTGTAGAGCAGGCTGGCTTCGAATTCAGATACACCTACCGCTGCTTCCCAAGTGCTGGGGTTAACAGGCGTGCGCCACCACCCCAGGTTAGGTCTTCTGCCTTTAAAGGTTTGTTTATGTCTGACTTATACAGCATTCTGCCTGCATTTATGCCAGATCTCATTAGAGATGGTTATGAGCCACCATGCGGTTGCTGGGACTGAACTCAGGACCTCAGGAAGAGCAGCCAGTGTTCTTAACCTCTGAGCCATCTCTCCAGCCCAGGTCTTGTGCCTTTGACATTCCTTCTAACAGTCTGTAAGTTCTATGCTTCCAACCAGCCCCACATCCTCCATTCAACAAATGGTTTTCTGTCTCCAGTGGCATCCAGAAGTTGGAGTACTGATGTCCTAATTCCTACCCTCCTTGGTCTGGACAAACTAGATCTACAGTCAGCTCTGTAAGGGGACTAGGGGGCATATAGGGGTGCACTCCATACCCTGCTGTGTAGAAGGGGTGCGGCAAACAGAGAGGGTGCAGAGAGCTGTGGATGAAATCGCTGTACGATGCATGTTAAACACTGTTCCTTAGTGAACTGTCCATTAAGGTGGCCGTGATGGCTGTGTATTTATTATTATTATTCTGGGGTTTTTCTTTTAGGGGAGGTGCTGAGACAGGGTCTCACTTTGTAGACTCTGCCAGGCTGAAGTTCAGTATGTAAAACCTGCTTCTATGTACTGGGCTCACGGCTGTGTGCTGCCACCACCACCCCTACCCACGGGGCCGTGGCATTTGTTTGTTTATTTCATTATTTATTTATATTTACATAAATATAAATAAATTCTATGGGAGTTTCACCCGCATGTATGTATGTGTACCATATGTTTGCCTGGTGTCCTCAGAGGTCAGAAGAGGGAACTGGACCCCCGGAACTAGAGTTATGGGTGGTTGGGAACCACCATTTGGGTGTCAAGACTTGTCCTCCATAAGAGTAAATATTCTTAGCTAAAGAGCCTTCTCTCCAGCCCCAGGCTGTGTATTTTTTAATCAGGTGTACACAGGTACTCTGCTGGCACATTAAAGGCGTCAAAATGGGAGTAGGCTTAACAAAGCAAACGGAAGACACACACAGTAACCAAGGTCCTCGACCCAACGTTTATTGGCTTGAACACAGAAAGCCAAGCCGCCAGCAGTGTGAGGGGCTTGCTGCCCACAAGCCATGCTCAAGCCTCCACACGAGCCTAGCTAGTGATAGCCAGGGGAAGTCACAACTCTCCTCGGAGGAAATCCCAGCTAGACAGGGACTTCAATATTGCTACTTAGGAACAAGTGAGTGTGACTGTTGGTCACGTGGCTCTGCACCAAAGGCATTGAGTGCTTGCAGGCTGCTGCTTTGCCGCCTGGTCAGCCCTGAACCTGGACCCAAATCATTAGGCAGGAGAGAAGGCTGCCAGGAACACACGGTTGAGGAGTCGATGCTGGACATTGTCCAGTTTTCTATTAAATGGAAAGTCTTCTAAAAACTTAGTGCTTTACAAAAAGAAAAAAAAAATTGTTTTTGCCAACAAGTCTAGGACTTCAGAGTTGTTTGGTAGAAATACTGTCAAATATAAAATTCTGAAAAACTAGCCAGGGACTGGTAGGTGATTATCTGGTGAGGTCCTAAGTCATCTAGAAAAAAACCCTACAAAATGCTCAATCCAGTAGTCTACCGGAAGCTATTATTGTTATTGCTTCTGCAAGCAGAAGTGGGGACTAGGCAGAGCTGGTAAGAACACTAGTGAAAAGGCCTCTTAGTACCAAGACAGCTGGACCCGAGACTCCTGGGGTGTGGGTATAGGCAAAAAGGGAGGCCATATTAAAGCTAGTACCTGGCATGGGTGATTCCTGCCAGAGAGAAAGTGCCCCGCCCCCGTGTGTTGATGGGGGGGGGGGGGTGGCCCTCTGGAGGGATCATCCCTGACCGCACCAATGGGCTTCACTTCATTTGTCTGTTACTTCTCAAATCTGGAGGTCTGGCTTCAGTGAGAACAAGAGCACAGAGGGATTGTGGGAACGGGCTGGGCATGAAGGAGGGGTGGGGAGCAATCATGACTGGTAAGAAAACCTCAGGGCCTGAGCGGTGCTCTTGGCAGGCTCCCATCCTAGCATAAACACCTCCAAGCGAGACAGAGACAAAGCCAGCCTAGGGGGGCCCCGGGGGGGGGGTCAACAGGTCAGCAGATTTGCAGCCAACTCTCCCCAGTCCCAAACTTGCATGGGCTCCTCTGGGGAGGGGGGTCCTTTTTTCTTTTTTTCTTTCTTTCTTTTTTTTTTTTAAATCTCTCAAGCTTTTAGGATGTCAAAAGGAAAGAAAGCCTTCATGAGGAGGCTAAGGACACCTTCATTAGTCTTCAGTTCTGTAAAGAGAAATAGGGAGAAAACGGTCATGTATCTCGCTCAGTTTACTTTAGAAGCAGCACAAGACAGGAGGGCGGGCACGGGGACGCGAAGGGGGATGTTTGGAGTTGCAGAGCCCGCGCTAGACCCTGCTGCTTTCTCAGACCAGCAGTTTGCTCCTCCTGCTTTGTTGTGACAGCCCTCCTGAGTCCCCCAACACACACACAGCCAGGTGGCTGCCTGCCCCGTCCAGCTCCTGAGAAACAGAGCCAACGGCAGTGAGTGTGTCGATTCTTGGCTGTGTGGATACACTGAGGACATTCCTACTGCCTAAATAATTTTTGCTCCCTTCTGCCTGGGTCTTTGCCTTCCATGAGGGCTCTGCACCTCACCCTGCAAGGTTCCCCAGAAGGGCCGAAAGCCTGGACACCCTCAGGCAAACGATCTGATTTTGTGACTTTGGCGCCCTCTCCTGGAAGCTGGAGTCAATGCCTACTTTCAGCCATTATTCATTCAGGAAGATCCTAACTGCCCTAACACGCCCTAAGAAACCCTCCTCTTGGGTCCTGTTCATTTCCGTGAGTTAAAGGTTGACAGTCCTTCAGCCGGCCAGCCACAGCACTGAGGGGCCTGGCCTGACTGTCAGCAGAAGCTGGGTTCCACCTTTCCTCTTAGACCAGCAGGTGGAATGTCCTGCCAAGCTGCCAAGCCAGCCAGGTCTTGCCCAGGGGGAACTGTCAAAAGTCTGCTAGCCAGTGATCCCAGCCACACTGAGAGATGGCACCCCCAAGAGCTTCAGAGAGGCAGGGACAGAGCCAATGTGGGGAGCAGGGGGGAGGCGTGCCTCCTAGAGGGAACTCAAGAAGGTTAGCGTGGCAGCTGGAACTTAAGCTTCCTTCCCACTTCCCAGGCCCAGGACAGGAGTTTTGTGTGAGCCGATCCAGGAGCAGGAATTCTCAATCGAGATCAGACAACCCACTGGGACATCCAGCTTCCTAACCCCCACTCCCTACGGACCTGTGATCAAGGCTGGGAGAACAGAATGGGGAGCCCCTGCAGAACTGGGTCCTGGGTGCAGCTCTGGTATCCCAGCTAATCATTCAAGGTGAGGAGGCCACAGCACAACATTTGCTGGTGAGCAAGGTACAGCAAGAGGCAGTCTGGTAGAGACAGAGCCGACAGGCACCCTGAGAGCAGTTTCGTTAGTTTGATGGTAACGTGAATGGGTTTATTATTATTATTATTACTATTATTACATTTTTATTTGTTTTGCATAGACGTGGGGATGTGTGCATGAGGAAGTCAGTGGACCGTTCACATTGGTTGGTTCTCCCCTTTCCTCACGTTGGTCTCAGGGCTCAAACTTTAGGCCGTCAGGCTTGGCACCAGACACCTGCACTCACCGGCCCTCCATTGGTGTTACTTTTTTAGAGGACAGTTCTAGGGCCATTCCCCAAATTCTGTTGGGTCCAGATCTGTCCTGCAGCTATCTTCTCTCCAAAACCCAGAGACAGACGGGTGAAGCCAAACTGAGCAGCCTCTGCAACCCCAAGCACTGCAGGAGGCGTGGTCGGGGGCGCCCCACAGGCAGCTCTGGCTGGGGCCACATGCAGGGACCGGGAGGGAGCAAGCAGGCATCAGGCGGGGCAGGCACGTGAGAGCCACGGGGAGCATGCTGGGTAGGGAGATGGAATGAACGTGAACTCAGGCCCTGCTGGGACCTCCACGGGCCCTCCCTGCACACAGCGAGGACCTCCCTGAACAGGAGAGAAGTCAGGGACTCCCCCTGCCTCACCCCGGGAGCAGTTCCTCAGCACAATCTCCAGCAAGCCAAGGGTCAACAAATGATCGGCCTGGAGACCCCCAGAGACTTGGAAGAGAAGGCCCTCAGGCAGTGAGGAGTCTTTGAAAATGACACAGAAGCAACTTTGCCTTTCCCTTTGCTGGCCTCAGCTCTGAACACATGGGACAGTGACAGACCCCAAACTTGATGCCTAACTGCTCAAGTATGGCAGCTCTTCAAGGCCACAATGCATCGACCTAAGTGGATGGAATGAGGTCCCATCGCCAGAGATGTGCCGCCTTCTCCCTCTCCAGCTAGTGCTGTGGCAGGAGCTGTGGTAACATCTTAGCTCTGGAGATGAAGTTCTAAGACAGCCTTGGTCTGCAGGGCCAGCTCTGAAGACCAGCATCCCGCCTGCCTGGAGGGCATACAGACGCCCTCAGGGTTTCTGTCCTGCGCTGTACAAGCAGCTGCCTCTCCTTGGGGTGAGACAAAGCCACATCAGCCACCTCAGAAGATGTATGTACATTCCAGTAGCACTCCAGGGCTCAGAGATAATGGTCCCTGCTTAAGTACACTAGCACCTGGGATGGAGAGATGTTTCAGAGGTTAAGAGCACTGGCTGCTCTTCCAGAGGTCCTGAGTTCAATTTCCAGCAACCACCTATAATGGCTCATAACCATCTACAATGAGATCTGGTGCCCCCTTCTGGCGCACAAGCATACATGCAGGCAGAACACTGTCCATAATAAGTAAATAAAACTTAAAAAAAAAAAAAAAGCCTGGCGTGGTGGCGCACGCCTGTGATCCCAGCACTCAGGGAAGCAGAGGCAGGCATAGCTCTGTGAGTTCGAGGCCAGCCTGGTCTACAAAGCGAGCCTAAGTTAGCCAGGGTTACACAGAGAAACCCTGGGGGCCGGGAAGGTTTAACAGCACCCAAACCAGTTGGCCCCTTAGGTCCTCCAGGGACTCAACTGGCCTCTGGGAACCTTTCCCCTGGGGAAATTCTTTTTGTGGCTGGAAGTCCTCGTGCACGGGAAGGACAAGGCAGGTTCAGATGGGACGAAATGCATTAATTGGTTATGGAGGCGGTGGGGTGGGGGGTTGAGACCACTTCACTGGCGCTGGGGACACATTAGCACTGCTAGTCTACGAAACCAACCTCCTTACCACAAGGGTTTGCGAGAACATTTGTGGCCCAGGACTAGGGGGCTTGCTACAGGGAGGTGAGGTCAGAGGTCAGCTCAATCCTGAAATATAAAGGCGGCGAATGTGGTCACCTCGAGGGGCAGTGTCCTCATCCAGGGAGTCGGGGACTTCCTCCTGCCTGTGCCAACATCGGCATCCCCCTGCCCCCAGGGTGAGGAGGCGGCAGCAGCAGCAGCGTCCCAGCAGGAAGACAGGATGTTGCAAGCAGGGCGGCTGTGATACTAGAGGAATTCGGGTGTCCCTCGAGCAGCCTGGTGAGGTTGGGTGAGCTGTACCTCCCACATCAGCCATCCACTCCTTGCTTACACTGGCGAATTGGGGCTACCCCCCTGCCCCGCCAACAGCACCTCTGGATGCCAGGACTGGGAAAATGGTGCCGTTCTCCATGAGACTTCACTATAATAATGCAAAGGCTCCGCTTATACACTGCTGGGGGCTGGGGTCTCAGGGGCCCACAGTGGGGGCACAGCTGGGCTGGTGCAAACCTCCCCCACCCCTGCCTCGCTGTGACCACCTTGGCCATTCCACTGCTTCCAAGCACCCCCCACCCACCGGATAAAATGTTGAGGAGAGCCTGGTGACCCGCTGGGGGCTCCGGTGGGTGAGGGAAGAGCGGCCTGATTCCAGGAACCAGAAGCCATCCACCTGCCTCAAGCTGTGCGGGGCAGAGCAGACAGAGAATGACACGCACGGAGGGTGGGGGCCTGGCGAGGGAGGCTAAGCCAGATGGATGAGCACCAAGAATCCTGCTCTGTCCTCAAGTGACAAATTGGTTCTGTCGGGGGCACGCTACGCATAAGTGAACAGTGAGGCTGCTCCAGGCCATTTTCTAGCGCCTCATTCTTTTTTTTTTTTTTTTCCTCCCTCCCTTTTCTCCCCACGTTGGGGAGGCTCCAGGCAGAATACAAGAAATACACTCCCTCGGATGCCCTCTCCTCTGTGCCGCCTGTCCCAGGGGATCTTCTTCCTTTGATTGATGCTGACTGGATACTACCCAGAAAAAGAAAGAAACCCCCCCCCAACAATAAACCAAGGGAAGAGGGTGCGGCCCGCCTGCAGGAGGCTCGCTCCGCTTGGTCCTTATGCTGGGGTTCCAGCGTACCTCTGTTCTTCCTCCAGCTCTTCTTTGGTCATCATCTTCTTGTACTGGCTTCCCCTCAGCTGCCCAGGGCTGTACTTAAAGGAAAAGGCAGCTCCTGTGGGGACAGTGGATAAGTTGACTGATGACACAGGAGCCTCAGCAGTATCCCTTTTCCTTGCTTAGTTTTCGTTTGTATGCGAGTGCGCAGCGTGTGTGTGTGTGTGTGTGGCAGATCTCTGAGTTTGAGGCCAGCCTGGTCTACAAAGAGAGTTCCAGGACAGCCAGGACTACACAAAAAGAAAGGAATAGAAAGAGAGGCCAACAAGCCACATGCATAGTCCTTGTAACAGCCTGGGTGCAGCCCCAGCTTCAGAGGGGCCACATACACAGTGACACCATCTTGTCACCCCAGACCCACCCTATACTTTCTGTGACCTCCGATGGCTTCTTACACCTTGGTCTTTTATGGGAGACACAGATGGAACAGACATCCAGAGAGAAACCAGGGCCTGTGCTGCTCCATCTTCCAAATGGCATTCTCTCCTCAGGCCAGGCTCAGCCAGCCAAGAGCTGCCTGTGGGTCTAGGCGTCAACAGCACCAGCTGTTTGCCTGCAAGGCTTCCTCCAGCCACCAAGGCCTCCTCCAACCCCACCTACGCTGATCAGACCTATAGCAAATACCATTCACATCTCAGGAAGCACATGCCTGCCCACACTGGGCCCCAGGGACTCAGACCCTCCTTTTCTCTGCTTGGGACAGACGGGCCCAGTCTATGCATTCCCCTCCCCCAGTTTATCAGCAGTTGAAGGCATACAGCAGGCCCATGGCGGGATGCACAAATGAACAGGCTTGGCGGATTGCCAGTACCCAAGAGCAGCCTTCCAGTGCCCGCTGACTAGGGGGAGGGCAGATCTGCAGGTCTGACGGGGGAGGGGGAACAGAGGAGGGCCAGGACATGTGACCCACTGCCCTGGCAGAGGGAGGCAAGAGCTGCAGAGCAACATGGAAAAGCCAAGTATCCCTTAATCCAGCCAGCCTCCTGGGAGACCAAGGATGTCGGGCTGGCTTCTTTCTAGCGCCTGTTAAGATACAAAGGCTGCAGTGGCGACAGCCAACCCTGGGATCTCCTCTTCCAGCTGCTGTTCTGGAACTTCCTACTGCCTCTCCGAGAGTCTGAGATACCACCACATCCTCCCACAGCTGGGCAGGCTCCCCACTCACGTGTCATCAGATACACGGATGCTACCAAGAAGAAAGAAAAGGCTGCTGGGATTAGGATCCTCTCCTGGCTGGAGGAGGAAGGCTCCAGAGATGAACTCAGAACCCAAATATTCTGCACAGGCCATGCAGCCCCCTCCTCAGTTCTCACTAAGGACTGGGATCCTCACCTAGCCAGCTGTCCAAGGCCCCAGGCCTTCCTCGGGAAGCAATCTCTACTCTCTACAAGGACTGCCTTGCTCCCCAATCGTCCCACAAGCTTTTAGAGAGCGCAGTTGTAGGTGCTATAGTGACCAGAGGACAAACGCACAGTAGTGAGAACCCAAGTCAGCAGCTGGTCCTACACAAGGCTGGCTGAGGTGGGAGGGGACTGCCTAGAGGGCCGAGAAGTGCTGATGGAGGCAGGTGTGATGTCGTACATCCACAGTCCGGCACCTGGGAGTTGGGAGGAGGCAGGTCTCTGTGAGTTCCAGGCCAGCCTGGTCCACATCAAATTCCAGGCCAACTGTACTGAGGGGACAGGATGGCAAGGTGACTCTGAGTGAAGGTACAGGGGCTTTTGGGTCAGCTGGGGTTCACTCTTGAGGTAGTGGTCCTGGGGGGTCTGAAGTAGAGCTGGGCTGTCCTCTGCCTTCTCAGAAACTCTCCGCTCTCCTCTGCAGCCTTCTCCCTACCCCATGACCCCAACCAGGCTAAGCTCTGCCCAGCTCAGCTCAAGCACAGGAAACTCCACTCTGTCTGGTTTGGGTCATAGGAACTGAGAGTTTTACATGTCCAGGGTGTGGACCGATGAGGCCAGAGATGGAGGAGCTTCCCTGAGCGGCTCCAGTGTGATGCCCAGAGCTGCAGCACTCATGCTGAGGAGGCTTTTGTTCATCCCAAATCCCTGACTATCCTGCATGCCAGGGACCACAGCTGCAGCTCGAGCTTGCAAGATACCCTCAGGACGGAGCCAAAGAAGAAATGACAAAACCAATGAACCTCAACATCTGGGTCGCTGTGCTACTGGTTTAGAAAAATAAACGTAAAAAGCTCTGCCAGCCTGGTGCACGTCTGGGTTCTGATTAGCCTGATGCTTTTCCAACCCTCCAGGACAGCTGACTGATGCAGGCTTTAACTTAATCACACACGGTGGGCCCAATCCAATTTTGTCAGAGCACGAGGGCTGGGTGTGAGAGCCCCCGGGGAGTGTGTACAGGGTGGGGGTTCCTGTTCCAGGCATCACGAACCTTGGGGCAGTCATTTTAGCGACACTAATCAATTAGCCTGGGAGGCTGGACTGCTTATGCAGAAAGGCTGGCGGGGGTGGGGAGGGTGGGGGGATGGGGGTAGTCTTGCTTCCAGCTGAGACCATTGGCCTTTCTCCCTCTGCCTGGTTATGGGTGGCAGGCCATCAGAGTTGCAGGCTGTCCAGGGACAGTGGCTCAGAAAAGAAGGGGGAACTCAGGAACAGGCATGGGGTTGGGTGCAAGGCTTGGAATGATGGCCGATGGGTGCTCTCACTTTGTTTGCACCCAGTTTCGACCTCCCTTCTGCACGCTCAAGTCACCAATAGGACCTTGGTATCCATGGCCCAGACTGACTCCCGGGCCACAGTTACTGTTAACCCCTTTCTTGGCGATCTAGGAGTGGACAGCATGGGCCTGAGCAGCCAGGGGTTGACATCCCCACCTGCCACCCCCTGCGCCTGGGCAGCTTCAGACGCTGCACTTTACAGAAACCATAGCTCTGCTCACTCTCTGGAGGGCCTAGGGACTTCTATGGGCTCCATCACTGCAGGTATCCACAGGAGCCTCAGTTACCCCATTCCTGAACCCCTTGCTTCCCATCACTCCTGCAGTTGGTTTAAAGCTCCAGCTGGTCTTGCTTTAAAAAGAAAGAAAGAGGGCTGGAGAGATGGCTCAGAGGTTAAGAGCACTGGCTGCTCTTCCAAAGGTCCTGAGTTCAATTCCTAGCAACCACATGGTGGCTCACAGCCATCTAGAATGAGATCTGTATACATAGTAAATAAATAAATCTTTAAAAAAAAAAAAAAGGAAGGAAGGAAGGAAGGAGGAAGGAAGGAAGAAGGAAAGGAAAAAAAGGAAATATCTTTGTGCACTCACTGTACTGATCTAACAAACATTAACATTTTCCTGCTTTTTCTTTGTTTTTGTTTTTTGCTCCAGTTTCTTTTTTGAAGGACATAAAATGTAACAGATCAGCCATCCAGCCAGCCAGCCAGCCAGTCTGTCTGTCTGTCTAGAACACACGGGGCCTCTTGGTTTCATGGGCTCCTGTGGCTCCTTCTCTCCTATCTGAGCCACCCAGGGCTAAGGAGAGGCAGCCTCCCTCTCCTGCAAGGGCCCCCAACAAAATGTAGCAGAGAGAGCCAACAGAAAGACAGGCATGGCCGGGAGAGGGGAGAAGAGAGAGACCCAGCAGCCAGGGAAAGCCAGGGAGCTTTTACCCCTAAGGGGGGGGCCCTTTCCATCCAAAGATACTGATTTTGCAGACAGAAAATGGAGGACAAAGGTGTGCAGGAAGGTGAGGGTGAGCACAGCCTTAGTGTGCTTGATCATCCCATGGCCCCTCTCACCTGCTTGGTCCCCCCAATTCTCAGATTCCGTCTCCCCTACAGTAGCTGGGGTGGGGGTTCCGCTTACCATCTTCTTCCTCAGGTTCTTCGGTGGGAGGGCCCGTCTCACTGTCTGAGTCTTGCTCTTCATCCTGCGAGACAATGGCAGGGGGCAGGGGTCAGTGTGGCTTAGCTAGCCGAAACATCTCTGAGGTCCAATGTGAGCATGCCTGGCAACCATGGTGGAACCTGGACTCAGGGGTGAGGAGGAGGTGATGGAGGACTCTGCGTACCACAAACCCTCAAGTTTGGCCATTTCCAGGTAATGCCTGTCCAGGCATTTGGGTACCATTTAAAAAAATGATTTATTTATTTTTATTTTCTATGCCTTGGTGTTTTGCCTGCATATGTGTCTGTGGGGGAGGGGGGTGTCAGATTCCCCTGGAACAGGGGTTACGGACAGTTGGGGGCCACCATGTGGGTGCTGGGAATTGAACCTGGGTCCTCTGGAAGAGCAGCCAGTGCTCTTAACCGCTGCGCCATCTCTCCAGCCCCTGGCTACCCTTTTGATAAGTGGTGGAATTCCCACCCTCACCTTAGTAGGCAAAGCCAGGTCCTGAGAAAGCTGGCTGCACTGTGCAGGGCCATGGCCAGCTCAACGCCTAGCTATTCCGAGTTAGCGGCCTTCCTCGCTCCTTCCAGTGTCATTTTCTGTCTCCAGTCAGCTCAGTGACCATTTACCCAAAACTGGAACTCCATCCCCTTATCCTGGTCTCTCCCACACATGGATTCAATAAACAGATGGCTGGGGAGAGACATCCCGTCCTGGGATGGCCTTGGTGGAAGGAAGGAGTGACTTCAACCTCAGGAATGTTTGAGGATGAGCGAGACATGTGACCAGCCAGCTATGCTGGACTGGAGGGTGTGGGCAGGGGCCGAGAGGCCCAAGGAAGCCTAGGAGGCCAGTGTGGAAACTTCAGGTTGGAGGGGGAGGGTGTGGTCAGAAATTCACAGCAGGGGGTGGAGGCAAAGGCTGACGCAGGTGTGGGGAGCCCCAAATACCCCAAGAAGCATCCGGCCTCTGCAAGATGAGGCCCCACAACAGAGCAGCACCCACCACTGAGCAGCTTGTAAACTTGGTGCAGGCTGTGTAGAGGCCACATTTCCGAGCCCTGGCAAGGCTGTGTGCTAGGGACCAGACACCTCCCCAGTTTTGCACAGCAAAGTATCTGTGCAGTGAAGGGAGGTGAGTGGGTCAAAAAAGGAGACGTCCCTTTTGACAGGGGACTCACTCCAAAGGTTCTGTTGTTTAGACTTGGGGACATCCATCTATCTGGAACTTTTATACAACAGCACTGGAAACTGGGAGAGAGTATGTCTTTGCTAAATTCAGTTGGCTAACACAACCTCCAGAATGTCCACCAGTCCCAAGTCGCCATGCATGGATACCACACCGGGAATGCAGAGCTGCCTGCACACTCCGACTGTGAAAAGCGTCAGGAGAAATTAAAAGGGAGCTGGGGAGATGGGCAAAGCACACAGACCCGAAGAAAGAACTGCATTTGGATCCCCAGCAGCCATGAAGAAGAAGGGCTTGCTGGTAGTGCTGGTGTTGGGGTGGGGAAGGACAGAGCCTTCGACCAGCTAGCCAGCCTGGCAACTCGTGAACTCTGGATTCAGTGAGAGGGCCCCGTCTCAAGAGAGACAGCGGGAGGGAGCTGGGCATGGTGTCACGGCCTTGAGTGCCAGCATTCGACAATCAGAAGCAGGAGGATCTCTGTGAGTTCTTGGCCAGCCTGATCTATATAGTGAGTTCCAGGTCAGCCAGAGCTACACAGCAAAACTCCGTGTTAAAATAAAATAATATAGAATAAAATAGAATAAAATAGCCTTCAGGATAGAGCCCTGTGTGTGCGTGTGTGCACATGTGTGTTTCTCTGCTCATGTCGGATGTTGTGCTGTCTCACTCTCTGCCTTGTTCCCTTCAGGTAGGGATCTCACCAAACCTGGGTCTAGGTTGGCAGACAAAACGCACCACTGATCCTCCTGTCTCTGACCCCGTCAGGTTGGAGTTATAGGTGCATGCACGCATGTTGCTTTTAAATGGGTGCTGGGGATTCAAACTCACGTCCTCACGCATGCACAGCAAGGGTTCTTATCCACCGAGCCACCTCCCCAGTTCCTAGAATGGGTCACAGTCCAAGGTCTGGTATCCTTATCAGAGAAAACCCAGACTCACACAAGAGGTCACACGCATGCCAAGGAGAGACGCTCCAGGAAAAATGCGCCCTGCCAACACTTTGGTCTTGGACTTCTGACCTCAGAGCTACAAGAAAATAAACTGCTGTCATTTCGGCCCCGGCGCATAGCATTTTACTACAGTGGCCCTGGCAAGCCCATACGTCAGGCTTCTGGCAACAGAAAACCAACCTGGTGAAAACAAAACACTATAACACAGGCTGATGTCATCCTGGCTGGTCCCCCAGCAGGCCTGGCTGCATCTCCAAGCCAATCACCTCACAGGCAGTTCCTCTGTTGCTGCCCTCTGCAGTGTACTAAATAAATCTGCTTGCTTTCTAAACAAAACAAAGCTACAGCTAATCACCCCCATTGAGTCTCGGCTCGGGATAACTGAACAGACACTGTGTTTTAACTGCCTGTATTCGGAGATAATCTTCCATGGGTAGTTTCTCCCAGGGACAGTCTCCAACTAGCAACTGCACGGGCCCAGGCAGACAGCACTGCAGAGGCAGGGTCAGGCAGGCTTCTGGATGATTAGAGCAACGCACAGTGTGTGTGTGTGTGTGTGTGTGTGTGTGTGTGTGTGTGTGTGTGTGATCCATCTGCCACCCCAGGAGATGGATCCTACCCATCTACGGACAAGATCACAAGATCAGCAGGAACCCCGTGGCTAGCCACCAGAGCTAACCCAGGGTGTTCCGGCTTTACATGGTGACAGCCCCACCAGGCAGGTGGAGCTTAGTCTGGTTCCAACTCCTTTTGTTTTGGTTTGGTTTTTTGAGACAGGGTCTCTCTGTGTAGCCTTGGCTGTCCTGGAACTCTCTCTGTAGACCAGGCTGGCCTGGAACTCAAAGAGATCCTTCTGCCTCTGCCTCTCAAGTGCTGGCATTAAAGGTGTGTATCATCATGCCTGGCTGTCTGGTCCGACCTCTTCAGAGGGTATCCCCTGGAGAAAAAGGCAGATCAGGTAGGGATGGAGGAGGCTGCCCGCAGGTCTCTCCCCGCTACCAGAATGCTTAGTTTTCATCTTTGCATGATAGGGGGATTGACAGTATGGTTGGAAAGCAGAGCTTGCTTGTGCCAGCCAGTTCAAACCTGGAGCCCTTCTCCCCAGAAGGTCCTGTAGCCCAGGCTAGCCTCCAACTTGGTATGCAGCTGAGGGTGACATTAAACTTCCAATCCTGCTTTCACCTCCCAAGTGTTTGGATTACAGGCGTGTGGCACCAGTTAGGTATAGCAGTCTTTACAGCCACTCATGGGTCCCTTGACTTCCTCTGTCTGGCCAGAGGACCCCCAGATTACAGGGTCTGACAGCTCTGAGCCATTTTGGACCCTGTATCTGTAGGACAGTAAGAGAGCCAAGGCTTCCCTATAAGGAGCAGCTCTCTTTGGCTTCATGCACTGAGCTCCCTGTCAGGCCAAAAGAACTTAGCACTTTGGCAGACACCAGAGCCCACAGTTTAGATGGACAGAACCCAGTGTAAAACATCTGCCAGTTTTGCCAGGTGTGGTGGTGCACACCTTTAATCTTAGCGCTCAGGAGGCAGAGGCAGGTGGATCACTGTGAGGCCAGCCTGGTCTACAAAGTGAGATCCAGGACAGCCAGGGCTCTTGTTACACAGAGAAACCCTGTCTGGAAAAACCAAAAAGGTGCCAGTTTCTGCTTGAACACTTGTCACACTAGGAAGCTCACTCCCTTACAGAGCAGTCTTGCTCCAGGGGTGGGGCTGGGGCTGGGGCTGGGGCTGGGGCTGGGGCTGGGGCTGCCGGCTAGACCAGGAGCAGGGAGAGAAGATTGCTACCTCCCACTGAGGTTAGAGACAAGGAGATTGAACCTGCCTTTGGGGAAGAACTAGCAGCAAGTTTTTATTCTGATTTTTGGGGGTTTTGCACGTTCTTTATTGAAAAAGGCCTCGCAGGTGCCTGCTGTATGATGGACCCATCATAGGAATGGGGAAGGGGTGGTGAGCCTTGTGGGCAAAGGCCTTTTTTCATTCTTGTGTGCAGACATTCCTCTGCACAGACAATGTGCTCAAAAATAAAAGGTGACCTCATGCTGGTTAAGTGCTCTGAGGGGAGCCAAATAGGATGATGCCTGGGAAGGGAGGGAGGGAGGGAGGGAGGGAGGGAGGGAGGGAGGGAGGGAGGGAGGGATTGACATCTGCTAACGTGGTCAAGGGCACGGAGGCAGGGCCTGTATAGATGCAGGGGCTGGGCACTCCATGCCACTCAGTCAACACCTAGTCTAGATAAGAGCTTGAGCACCGGGAGGACGCCAGTGGCTTCAGTGGGGCAGGAAGAACTGTGATCAAGGCCCATTAGCCTTAAGAGGCTGGAGTCTACCCTGCTGCAGCAGGCTTCAAGCAGGAAAGCTGGGATGTGGCTTCCGGATTGTAAAAGTGAAAGGCAGCCTGGGAGGAGCTGGGCAGCCTAGGGCAGCAGGAGCCTGGGAAAAGGTTTATCAGGCAGCCTGCAAGAGCACAGCATGGAAGAGCAGCCAGCAAGACTACAGAGAGCTGCTCCCTCGGGAGTAGGCCCTGGGAGACAGGCAAGAAAACTTGGGGGACAGAGAGAAGAGGGGAGCAAGACAGGCCCGGATTTCAGTAGGGAGCAGTGAGGAGAGGAAAAGTATGGGGAACAGGGAAAACAATGACAGATGACAGACACCTGAGGAAAATGGGTGCCCACAGGAGAGAGCAGAGGGCTTCATGAATGCATTTGGGTGCCCTTCACTCTCATCAGGGCAATGGAGGCTGCAGTGCTCTGGAAGACAGCAGTGGTGGAGAAGGCCCTAAAGCCTTTCCAAAAGGGAGAGGGACGGGGGAAGGAGAGACCCCAAGCCTGAGAGCATGCTTATCCACATGGCTTGTATGCATTGGGTAAAGGGTTAGCTTATAGTGCAGGGAAGGTGGGGTATGGAGATGAAGAGAGATGTGTGTATGTGGGGAGCAGACTGAGACAGAGAGATGGATCAACTCATTGTTCTTCTGGCTTGCACCCACAGCTCTGACCTTTACCCCATTCAGACATCTAGTCCAAAAAAACACCATCCCAGGCCCTAAGCACACAGCCCAGTCAAGGGCACATGTACCAGCTTTGAGCAAACTCACTCACATGAGAACAGGCAGGACAGGCTCAATCTCACAGTTTTGGGCAAAATAAAAATTAAATAATAACAGTTTTGGGCAATGCTCCCACAAGAGGGTTTAAAGGCTATCAAGAGCTTCATAAAGCCAGAATGAAACAAACATACAAAAGGCTGTAAATGTTAGGCTGAAGTCCAGCCGTCTTACTTCAGAATGAACAGAGTTGAGACAGACAAAAATCAAGAAGGGATTGATGAAGTCAGACGTGAGAGAGTTGGAGAATGCAGTCATTCATTCGGGAAGACCAGGCGGATGGCTTTGATAAACTGAATGTGACAGAAGGTTGGGCTGTCACTCAGTGGCACAGCGCACTTGCCAACCATGTTCTAAGCCCCATCCCTAACACACACCAACAACAGGTGGGCTGCTTCTAAAACCTCTTGAAGGCTTTGACCAGAGGATAGGCCAGTTTTGGAATTCCTCAGAGTGGGAGGTGTGAGTGGTTTAGCCCAGAGAGGAGGCCTGCTGGAGGGGAGGTACTCTCATATTTTGAGATTTAGCTCCAGACTCTGAGTACTCAAAAAATAAGAATCTTCCCAGGAAGAAAAACTATTCCAGGAATTCCCCCCTTATCCATGGTTTGGACTGTTCTGCAGTCTCTGGCTTTTTTTTTTTTTTTTTTTTTTTTTAATCAATTAAGAAATCTTTAGAGGCTGGAGAGATGACTCAGAGGTTAAGAGCACTGGCTGCTCTTAGGGACCAGGGTTCAGTTTTCAGCACCTACATGGTGTCTCATAACCTATCCTTAACTCTAGTTCTCGGGATCCAATGCCCTCTTCTGACCTCCGAGGGCACTCGGTACACAGATGTGCCCAGACATACTTGCAGGCAAAAACATACATTTAAAATAAAAATTTCAAATGTAAAAAGTGCCTTTAATTATTATTGTTTGTCAGGGCTGGGCACCAGGGTCAGAGGATAACTTGTGAGAATTGGTTTTCTCTTCCCACCTTATAAACCCTAGGTTGTCAGGCCTGATGGCACACACCTTATAAACCCTAGGTTATCAGGCCTGGTGGCACACACCTTTGCCCACTGAGCGATGCTGCTGGCTCACTTCTGCAGTCTCTGTTACCCAGTGCCAACCAAAGGGTGAGTGTTTAGACGAGGGCATGCTGACACATGCCTGTAATTTCTATGGGAGCTGGAGAGATGGTTTAGCGGTTAAGAGCATTGACTTCCAGAGGACCCAGGTTCAATTCTCAGTACGCATGTGGCAGCTCAAAACCCTCTGTAACTCCAGCTCCCCTCTTTTGACCTCTGTAGGCCCCTTTCATGCATATGGCCCACAGACATACATTCAGGCGCATACACACACACACACACACACACACACACACACACACACACACACAAAATCACCTTTAGGAAATGAATCTCTAGGGCTGAAGAGACAGGTCAGTGGTGAAAAGCACTGGCTACTTTGTAGAGAATCCAGGTTTTTCCTGTGCCCACATGGTGGCTCACAACCCTCAGAAACTCCCATTCTAGGGGTGAGGGGTATCTTCTTCTGGCTTCTGTGCTGTGCATACATACAGCCAAAACACTCACACATATAAAATATTTTCTAAAAATACACTATTTGGTATAGCCTGTAATCTCAACACGTGGGAGGGAGAAGCAGAAGGATGAAGAGTTCAAGGCCACATGCCAGGCTGTGGCCGCACATGCCTTTAATCCCAGGACTCAGAAGGCAGAGGCAGGTGGATCTTTGTGAGACCAGCCTGGTTTATAGATTGCCAAGGGCTACATGGAGAAGCCCTGTTTAAAAATAAAATAAAATAAAATAAATAAAATAAATTCTGCTCCCTGGCTTTAAGGAACAGCTTTTGTCTGGATATTGTTGCCTCACAGCAATCTGTGGGAGCGAGGTGTGTGCGCCGTGCTTCCTACTGCCGGCCCTGAGTACTCTCCACGGGAGAATGTTATTATTCTAAAATATTGCTTTGCCCTCTCAGAGTCCCTGGCCAGGCTGGAAACTTCTGGGGAGTGGGGAGGAAGATTGGCCTTGTTTGATCTCAGGTTGCTCCATTTCACCCCCATTCCCCCGGCCTGCACCCTCATTCCCCCAGTCTGCACCCAGGGCCTCAGTCTATAACTGCCTCTTCCCACCACCTGGTCTCCAGCCTTGAGGGCACCCAGCCTGCAAGAGGGAATGCTGTCCAAATGATCTACAGCAGCAGCTGAAGGCCGCCTCCCTCCCTGGGCTCCAGAGACTTTTCAATAATCAGCTTTGTGAGTCAGAGGCTGCAGCTGCCCCAAGCTGCCCAGGCCTTGCTGGGAAAGAAGCAGACTGGATTAGGAAGGAAGTAGTTAATGGAAAATGAAGAGGGGATTGGGATGGGGGGGGGGAGCTGAGTTAAGCCTCCCAAGGGCAGTGACTTCCATGCTAACAGCAGGTAGGGGGGTGGTCCCTGAGCCCTGGCTGCAGCCTTTCACTTAGAGACCATGAAAGAGGCCTCCACGGAGGGACCATCCAGCTGTAGCTTCCCATCCCAACCTGAGCTATCTTCCCTGGGGGCATTCTTCCAGCCCCTCCCCAGGCAGCACGCAGTACAGGTCACCAGAGGAAAGCGCTGGGAACACTTGGAAAAGCCCGAGTCTGTTTCTAGACAGTTTCTAAGAAGCTATTTCTAGCACTAAAGCTCACACACTACTGGGAGGGGGGGAAGGGACACAAAGATACCTGTATCTCCCAGAGGGCTCTGCCCACTTGGCTTTCAGGGCAGGAGTAGGGGGAACTGGTTAGTGCCACCCATACTCACGGGAGATGCGCCTGACCTCCGAATGATGAAACTGCCTTCCTGTGGGGTGGATTCTCTCAGGAAAGCTCAGCTGCCATCTTGAACTCCCTGCATGGTACCTTGTCCTGCAAAGCCTCCTGTAATCCTAGGAACCCCCCCCCACCCTCTTTTGGGGATGGTGTCTCATTCTGTAGACCAGCTTGAACTCACAGAAATCTGCCTCCCCTCACTCCCCCTCCCGTCTCCCAAGTGCTTAGAACAAAGACTCAGTTACCAGGCTACTCAGCTTAAACCACTGGTTTGGGGAAGCTGAGGGGGGAGGATTGTGAGTTTGACTTGACTACACAGACTTGGGCTCCAGGTCAGCCCAAGCTACATGTCAAGAATCTGTCTCAATTAATCAAACCAGCCAACCCAGAACCGGAAAAAAAAAAATCCAGAGTGCCTACCTGGCTAAATTATGTGAAGGGCCCAGTTTCAATACTACCTCTGACCCCATGACAGGATGAGTGCCAAGAAAAGCCTTCTTAAGAAATTGCCCAGCCGGGTGTAATCCCAGCTCTAGGGAGGCAGAGGCAGGAGGATTGTTGTCAGTTCAAGGCCAGCCTGGTCTACAAAGAAAGTCCAGGACAGCCAAGGGTCAAGGCTACACAGAGAAACCCTGTCTTGAAAAACCAAAAAGAAATTGCCCTACTCCAAAGGATCAAGATATCACCCCCCCCACACACACACACACACACGCAAAAGAAATCTTGGAGTTTTGCATAGAATCTGCCACTGGGCAATAGAAGAACAACCTGAAACAGGGCCGATAGAGACAGCCAGTGGCGGCCTGAGAGGAATCCCAAACCCACTTGCCACTCACCCGAGGTCTGAGAGCCTCCCGAAGACCTCCACTCTCCCTGGCTCGAACACAATAGTTCTCCTACAGCCTTGTTGAGGGCTAGTTAGAAGCCATTCTAATGACACAATTAGTCACCCACTTGTCAAGCAAAGAGCCTGCTAGTAGGGGGTCTGGCAGAGTCAGCACAGAGAAAGGCTGAACCCAGGCTCACTGCGGCCTCTCCTGTCCCAGGAGCTGCACTCCTGTGTAAACCACTGTACCCAGCAAGGGACAGAGGAGGCACCCGGAGAAAAGCTGACCAGGCAGCAGAGCAGCGAGCCCACGGCCTCCACCGTGCTGTCCATCCTGCCCTCCCAGCAACGCTAAGGAGAAGAACAAAGTGTGAAAAGCTGACCAGAGCGGGTGGCCTGGCCTGGCGCTGTGAAATCCCAGTCTGCAGAGACGCATCTGAGAGAGAGAGAGAGAGAGAGAGAGAGAGAGAGAGAGAGAGCGAGCAAGAGCGGTGCCCGGAAGACTGGTCAGTTAATGGCTGGCTCCCAGGGGGTACGGAAGGTGGTTTTGGGGTATCAGCTGCGATGCAAGAGGGCCACTTCTTGCACCTTTTGTTCCATACAGGCCAGGCTCCTCGGCAACCCAGGGGGTGAGGATTGGGGGTGTCAACGCCTAGGAGCAGTTTGGAAACGACAATAACAAGGTCTCAGTAAGTGCCTTTCCTTTCAGTCCGGTCCTCCCAGCCTCACACAACGCCCACACTGACTCTGGAATCTGGACTTCAAGTTGACCTAAAACAGGCAACTTCTCTTCTTCTTCTTGTACACCCCACCCCAAAGTACTGTGTTGTCAAGAGTAAGCTAACTCCAGTCCAGACCCTGGAGTAGGCGTGTGTCCGTGGATAATAAGCTCGGGTGGGCAAAAGCGGAGCAAGACGAGGGTGAAGAGCAGAGTGTTAAGGACCGTGGGAGGCCCGGGAGGGCCAGGACGGGGAAAGAGGGAGCCAGCTCCAGAGCACAGTGCTCGGAGGCACTGTGGGGGAGGATGGAGCGTCCCAGCCGCAGGAACCTTCCTTTCCTGCCGGCCGCTGGCTCGGCCCTTCCTGGGGAGGTCCGGCCAGCAAGATTCTCGGGGACCCCACGGCGACCTTGGTGCATACCTGCCTCCCCTCGGCCGCTGGCTCCTCGGCCTCGGGCTCCCCTGGCTCCGCCACGCGCTCGGGCTGGCACGGCTCTGCGGGTGCGGGCTCCGGGGCGCAGGGCTCGGGAGGCTCAGGCGGCGCGGGAGCCCCGGGGGCCTCAGCCGGGGACGCTCTCTCCTGGGCCGGGGCCGCCCCACGCCGCAGCAGCAGCCAGGCGAGCAGCAGTGCCAGCGCCGTGGCCAGCGCGGGCAGCGCGGCCAGCAGTTCGGCCGGCGCCTCCATCGCGCCGCGGCCGCCGAGTGCCCGCCCGCCGGGACCCAGAGGGAGCCCGCCGCGCCCCGCCACCACACCACGCCCAGGGGCGGAGTCCCGTTCAAGCCACGCCCCCCACCCTTAGGGTGACTTGGAGTCAGGATCTTGGGAGGCGCTGAAAAGCCCACCCCTCGCTGGCTGACGCTACGGGGCACCATCTCCGCTCAGGCTTGCGGGGTGCGGTAAAGGCTCATTGTTCAGTGTCTTCAGGTTGGCTCTATTTCAGCAGAAGTTCATCTTGGAGAGGGTGGTGCAAACCTGTCAATCCAGCACTTGAAAGGCGGATGGGTGCAGGACAACACCACATACAAAATTGATCATCTTGGAGTATTGACGATCCGGGCACTACGGGGTCGTGTGGCAAGTTTTAGGAGGTTCATGGAAATTGAATACTAATTCCCTCAAAAGAAAATTGAGGAGCCTGGCGTGGTGGCGCACGCCTGTAATCCCAGCACTCAGGGAGGCAGAGGCAGGCCGATCTCCGTGAGTTTGAGGCCAGTCTGGTCTACAAAGTGAGTTCAAGACAGCGAAAGCTACACAGAGAAAGCCTGTCTCAAGAAAAAAAACCAAAAAAGAAAAAAAAAAAGAAAGAGAGAAAGAAAAAATGAAAAAAGAAAGAGAAAGAAAGAAAGAAAGAAAGAAAGAAAGAAAGAAAGAAAGAAAGGAAAAAGAAAGAAAGAAAGAAAGGAAAATTAAAGTGGGACATAATGGTCTCGCCTTTGACCCCAGATCCCGGCACTCCAGAGGCAGACAGGTCTCTGTGAGTGCATATACAGCCTGGTTTACATAGCAGATTCCAGGCAGTGAAGGCTGCATAGGAGATCATCTCCAAAAGAGACAAGAAAAATCTCTGGTTAAGTGGACTATTGGCAGCTGTGGCCCATAGCTGTGGCTTCACCAGTTTTTGCCAGGTTTTTCATCCTGGCTTCAGCAAGAGGATGGAATGAGGTGAAAAGAAGGGTGTTTTTGTTTTTCCGTATCTTTTCCAGGGCTCTGTTGACTAAAGTGTAAAGCACACTGTGATTAACTGTGTATTTTCCCTAACACTCCCTACCCACCTTTCAGTTACTTTGAATAAACACAGGGCAAAGGGTCAGAAACAAAGGACAAAAAAGAAAAAAGAAAAAAAAGTCAGCTGGACTCATTATAACCCCAGCATTCAGAAGATGGAGGCAGAATTAGTTCAAAGCCAGCCTGGGTCACACAATGAGTTTGGGTCCAGCCTGAGCCTCATGATAGCCTGTCTCAAACAGAAGGAGTTGAGCTTTCCAGCCTGGTGCACACCTGTACCGCCATCTCTTTGGAGAGCTCAAGGCCAACCTGAGCAATGTCAGCTCACGCAACAATAAGGTGCGGTTCCTACTTTGGCTAGACGCTAGAGCAGAGTTCTTTTGTTGCTCCTCTGTGGTGCCGGGGAAGGGATACAAGCACCCTAGCATATCTACATATGCTACTGGACAGAGCTGTTATTTCGCTTGGAAGACACAGCACCATCACAGCTTGTGGGCTCCAGCTGCGACAGGAGGCTCCCTGGCGACAGGAAGGGCTCAGCCCCACAAACACAGTCTCTGGGTTTTAAGAGGGATGTAGATCCTCTTAATGGTAGTCGATGAAAAAAGCTTAACTACAAACAAAGGATTTGTCTGTAGGCTCCTGGCTTTCCTACAGGATGTGTGCAGCCAAATATATATGAGCCTTAATTTAGCCTAACCACTCCTCATACACACACACACACACACACACACACACACACACACACACACTCCCATCACACCACTACAGCCCTGTTTTTACTAACAAGGTTTCATTCAATAGCCCAGGCTGGCTTTGAACTTGTATTGATCCTGTCCAGCGCTGGGACTACAGGTGTGAGCTACAAAACCCTCCGAACCCCAATTTCTGTTTCTTAAATTTATTTGAGTGTTTTGCTTTCATGTATGTCTATGCACCACATGCAATCCTGGTGCCTGTGGAGGCCAGAAGAGGGTGCTAGATTCCCTAGAACTGGAGTTGAGGTTCTAGTTGTGAGCCACCATATGGGCACTGGGACCCAAACCCCAGTCCTCTGCAAGAGCAGCAAGTGCTCTTAACCAATGAGCCATGTCTCCAGTTCCCTAGCCCCATTTATTTTTAGCCCAGCAAAATTCTAGCATCCAGGAGGCAGAGGTCCAAAGTTGAAGGCCATCCTGTCTCAAACAAATAAAAAGTATAAAATGTATTTTAAAGTTTTTTTGAGATAGGGTCTCTGTAGTCCTGGCTGTCAACAGGGGTTGGCCATAAATTGTATTTTGAAGAGGTCTGTTCTGGAGTCCTGCATGGCGCCACAGGTTTTTAATCCCAGCACTTGGGCGGCAGAAAAACAGGTAGATCTCTGTGGGTTCAAAGTCAGCCATGGTCTACCTAGCAGGTTTTAGGACTGTCCACAGCTACACAAAAAGACCTTGTGTCAAACAAAACAAAATGTCCATCCTGCTAACTGAGCACATCCTAATGACCTTGATCTTTAAATAAGAAAGGATGAGAAGACACAAGCAGAAAACACTGCAAATCTCAAATCCACTTGCTTTATTCAAAACGATGAACAAGGTTCTTGCAAGAGTTAAAATATCAGGGGCAGAGCCACAAACACTTCATGGCAGGACACAGACCCCCAGGTTTCTTGGTATTCTGATAACAAGAGACTATGGTGCTCAGGGCAGCCTGGTTGCTCTGAGACATCCAGTTACCATGGTGACAGCAGGTTTGGGCAGGTTCTCCCTGGGGAGATTCCTGGGGGATAAGTGGTTCAAGTTCTTAAACTAAACAATGAGACACAGTTGAGAGTCCCCAAAGAGAGACCCCACATTTGTGATGGAGACAGTGTGAAATTAAATTGGCATAAGGTCTTTCCAAGGGCACCGGGGTATTAAGAGAAGCCAGGCCCTACCTTGAATTCATCAGAATGCACACGCCCCAGCCCAAACATTTCTGTGGCAATGTCATGCACACAAGCTAAGGGATCCCCAGCTGCCCCTCACGCCTGCCTCCTTCACAGCACCCGTCTACGCTGCTACATTCCCTTTCCACCCCGTCTCCTGCCTAAGGCTCAAGGCCTCTACGTATGTGATGCATGGGCTCAGGCAACTGCTTCAGCGATTCTCCACACACCCCTGGGCCACTCGCTGCTCATGCTGTCTTTAGGTGTAATGCATCTGGTGGGAGCCAAACTTGATCTCGTCCAAGCTTCCTACCCCACTAGCTTCTTGTGAACAGCAGCAGCCACTGCCCACTGAGCCCCACAGGCAGGCCCCAGGGCTGTCCCTGAGGTGCCTGCAGGCACTAGACATTCTGCTCAGGGCCTGAGTGACTAGAAACCGGGGATCTGCAATCACAGCCAGATAGACGGGTGCTCCCGCTTGCTGGCTTTCTCTGCCAGGGTGAGACCCTAAGCCCACAGGACTGAGACTGCAGAGGCACCTGTGCAGGAGACTGACGGGAAACTGTGAGCGAAAGAGTTGGGGTTTTCCACTATGCTCTTTCTCAACGCCTTTGCCCAGAACCCAGCTCTGGCTTAGGAAGACCAACTTGGCTCAGCAAACGGTTCAGTGTTGCTGAACTCTCCGCTGTTACCATTTAGCTCATGTCCAGAGAGAGGGGACATAGTGGGGTGGGAGGAGAGGGCACTTGGCCACTCCTCTGCTCCTCAGCCCCTCTGCCTTACCTTTTTTGTGTTTGATGTGCCCATAGGACAGTAGCAGGGACAGGGGTGCAGAGGCTCTGGCCGGCTAGTCTAAACCATGCACTTATTTGTAGGGTGGCCAGCTTCCCCTCTGGCAGCTAGGGGAGAACTAGGGGAGCTGATTTTTCCATCTGAGATTTCTGTACCTCCCAGGCCACTGTCATTTTACTTCATCCCGACCCCTGGTGGCAAAGAGATCTTCTTTGGTTGCTTGTTTTATTTTATTTCAATTTTTTGAAATTGATCTCATTCAGCCCAGGCTGGGCCTGAACTCCTAATCCCCTTGCCGAACATCCCTTGCTCTGTGGTCCAGGCCACTCTTGAACTGAGCCTCCCATTTCAGTTTGGCAATGGCTGCTGTACAGCTGGAACCTTACTCAGTTTTCTGTGTAGCCTTGGCTGTTCTGGACTCGCTTTGTAGACCAGGCCAACCTCAAACCCACAGACATCCACCTGCCTCTGTCCCCCGAATGCTAGGATTACAGGCCTGAGCCACCACACTGGGCTTCAGCTACTCTAAGATTTATTTTTGCTGGGCAGTGGAGACAAAGGTCTTTAATCCCGCACTTGGGAGACAGAGGAAGAGGTAGGCAGTTCTCTGCAAGTTTGAGGCTAGCCTAGTCTATGAGTGAGTTCCAGGACAGCAAGGGCTGGAGAAACTCCAGTCTTGTGTGTGACTGCTTTACCTGCATGTGCATGTGCACAATGTGTAAGCTTGGTGCTTGCAGAGGTCAGAGGCGGGTACTGGATCTTTTAGAGGGTTATGAGCCACCACCTGGATGCTAGGAACCAGACTCCAGTCCTCTGTAAGAGCAAGAGCTCCTAACTGCCAAGTGACCCCTCCAGCGCCCGTGTGTGTGTCAGAAGACAACTTAAGGAAATGGGCTCTCTCATTCTACCAGGTTATTCGTCTTGGCGACACCTGTTCTCTCCTGCAGAGACGTCTCACTGGCCACTTCTTGCTTTAAACAGGCTGGGAGAGGAGCAGCTGTAAAGGCTGAATGAGGCGTTCCAGTAACAACACAAGGAGAGGCTTCCTGAGGATGCTGAGAGTGCTTTGCAACACGCAACACAACTGCACATCATGAGAGATTTAGATTCAGGGTCTCCTCAACCCTCTGGACCAGGAGGCAAGGCTGTTCTAGGACAGTACTCAGCCAAGCCAGACGCCACCTCTGCAGCCTTGTAGCTGCATCAAGGTCAATATACAGAAGCCTGAGCTAGAAAACCAAGGCTGGCCTCCTGGAGGAAGGCCACACCCTAACTGAACCCTTGGCAAAGACCTGGAGTCC